CCTGCTGCTTGTCACACAGTCACTTAATGCCACCGTGCCAAACACATCTGGAGACTGGACAGAAACATCCACAAGACACATGACTTATTAGATGCTAAAGAAATTACCATCTTTGGTGCCACTGTAGATTTAATTTAAAACACTGATGGAACTCAAAAGTACATTGCTGAAAGGTCTCCTGTGGTTTCAGAGATTTCACTAGCAAACTCATACAGGTTTTAGCAAGAACAGAACCAAGACCATTTGGTGCATGCCTAAATTAATACAATCTCTCTCCTAAACAGTTTTATACAAAGAAACTCAATAGTTCGGGTTTGAGTGGGTGAAATCCCTTCTGAAATCCACGCAACGGCTGCCAGAGAGGATTTCTGTAGCCTACACACCATCACATGGGAGGGAGGAACAGAGTACTACAGCAGTACTATGCTGTAACTGCATGTCCAAAGACTGAAATTGTTCTCCAGAAGGTTCTGCTGGGGTGATGAGGACCTCAGATTACCCTTCCCAGGGAGCTAATCTACTCAAGAAGGAAGGAAACCCAAAAGCATTTGCTGAGGGATCTCTTCCTGAAACAGTGATGTTGGAGAAATGGAGTGTCACTACTTGGTGCTTCCTGGTCAGGTACTAGACCCAAAATGTATCATTTGCATCATTACATAAGTCATTTGAAGCAGCAAGGCAGTGGGCACTGCAAGCTGCACATCTCTGAGCCTGACTTGCATAAAAGGAGGTACACAGGGACACGCTACAACCAAACAGCCAGAGATGTGGTCCTGTGTGGCTTGGGTGATTCAGGACACAGAGCCTTTGTGCTGCCAAGCTGAGACCTCCTGGTGCACTCAGGTATGAGGAGGGCACCAGCTCCCCTCAGCTGTGCCCCTCTCTGCCTGAGCACCAGGCTGGGATGGCCACATTCAGGCATGAGGGATGCAGCCAACCAAAGGGTTAAAGGTTTTGAAATGTAGTTTCAGTGAGCGACCTGCATTCCTGAAATGCCAGAAAAGCTGGAAAAGGCAGCTGGCACCCCTCCCTGCAGCCTGGGCCAAGCATCCAGGCCTTAATATGGCAGAGAGATGCCTCTGCAGCCCCCAAAAAGCTGGAGGATGGGGGTCCCAGGACAGTCCCCATGCATGCTTCTTAGCATCCCCCCCTAGGCTGCTGCAGGGCTGGTGGGCTCACAGGCAAAACAAAAACAAAACCAAAGCATCACCTTCCTCCTATGTTCTCCAGTCTCAGAGCAGAAAAGGAGCAATCTCAGAGTCATCTCGAGCTGCTTTCAAGTTATGCCAATAAAACAGTTCCTTCTGCAGGACACTTGTGCCACTCCACGTAACCCAACACATACCTCTGCCATGGTGATTGATACCAGCATGGAACAGCAAATATGCACAGTGGATAAAGTCCACCCCATGGTCCCTGGGGGTCCCTGTGCCGAAGGGATATCAGTGTTGCAACATGAGCATGGTCTGGCTTCCACTTCATAAGCAAAGCTCAAAATACTTTCCTCTTTGACGCGATTTGACGTCAGTCAGCAGCATCTCCTTGCTTGGGCTCCCTGGGTATGGACTCTTGCTGGGGACATGATATTTTCCGAAGACAAATGTCACATTGTAAAATGTGCTGATAAGCAGCCCTTGTTTAAAATTACTTTGAGGACAACACCTGATGAAAACACCAATGACCTGAAGTCTTCTGTGGGGATAGTACAACTACAGAACCCTCCTGCTCCTTCTCATTCACCAGCCATAAATCATAGAATCAGAGAAATTTTAGGGGTTGGAATGGACCTCACAGACCATCTAGTCTCAACCCCTACTGCCATGGGCAGGGACACCTCCCATCAGACCAGGATGCTCAAGGCCTCATCCAACCTGGCTTTGAACACTACCACCCTGGGCAACTCGTTCTAGTGTCTCACCACCCTCACAGGATAAAACTTTTTCCTAATATCTAGTCTAAATTTCCCCTCCTTCAATTTCTACCCATTGCCCCTTGTCCTGTCACTGCAGTTCCTGACAAAGGAAGACTCTCTGGCTTCCCTGTAGGCACTTCCAGATATAGGAAGGTTGCTATGAGGTCTCCACACAACCTTCTCTTCTCCAGGCTGAACAGCCCCAACTTCCTCAGCCTGTTCTCATAGGGGAGATGCTCCAGTCCTCTTATCAGCATCACAGCCTCCTCTGGACTTGCTCCAGCAGTTCCATGTCCTTCTTATAATGCCCAAGTATACAGTCAAATTAAGGGATTTTTCCCCTCCTTTCTTCCCCACCATCCACAAATGTTACCTGTGAATGTTTCATCATCCCAGTCTAAGTGCAGCTCATTCCAAGCTTTCATTTCAGAGCAAAGAAGACAAGATGACAAATGTTATTTAAATATATGCAATGAATGTAAAAATGTGTGCTCAACCTACTCGGCCATGCTAGGCTTTGAGATGAGTTATCACAGTG